ACAACAACAATAATAATAATAATAATAATAATAATAATAATAATCAGGAAATGAATAAAATTAATAGTAGATAAAATAGATATGGATGTGGCATTTCCAACCGGATGGTAAATTGTATGGTTAAGTTTGCTCGAGATCTGAGTTCGAATCCTATCCCAAACGGTTTTATTTTTATTTATTTATTTATTTATTTTTTATTTTTTGAATTTTTTTGAAACAAGTATAAAACTAATAAGAGACCAAAAGGGCATGGAAGTGGCATACCCGGCCGGTTGGTAAGCTATTGGTATTATACGCAGAGAGCCCGAGTTCGAATCCCACCCCAGTTTTTTTTGGGCCGTAGCTATTGCGTAGCAAAGCTGTCGCTATTACCCTTCCGTAGCTAATCTGTAGCAGTATTGTTCAGACCATGTGCAAGTTGGAGCAAATATACCCTCATGGCTTCTTTGATTCCATGGAACACCTGGTCATACATTTAGCTGATGAAGCTATTTCTGGTGGTCCGGTAAATTACAGATGGATGTACTCACTACCTATCAATACGAGAGGTAATCGCCATGTTTTTATATTATATATCTAACAATTTTAAAGTTATTTCTGGTATTCTTAACACATCGTCCATACTTTATAAATATAGGAAACTGGGCATAATTAAAAGAAGAATCAGGAACAAAGCAAAGGTTGAGGGTTAAATAGTCAATGAATATCTAGTGAATGAACTCACTACCTATTGTTCGTTATATTTTGACGATTGACACATGCCACAATCGAGAAGCATGGAATTTTGCACCAAAAGTCACAGGTTTTCGAGTGGAGAAGATCCACTTAGCATCTTTGTCGTCCCATCAAGAAGATTATACGAAAAAAGTGGAAAATGACAACCCTTGAGTGATAAAGACCTTCACAAGGCGCACACTTACATATTACTTAATTGTAAAGAAGTTAACCCTTACATCATCGGGTTTGATGAACTGGTCATGACAACGAATCCAAATGAATCAGTTTCTGATTTAAGAGATAAATACTTTGTTGAATGGTTTGAGGACATAGTAAGTAGAACCAGTTCAATCGTATTGATTATTATTAATGCATAATCAACCAACACAATGTGTGTATGTTTTCAATGTAGGTAATGTATAAGACACCCGATGGAAGTGCTAGACAATTAGAAGTTATAGCTAAGAAACCATCGAGACATGCTTATTTTCATAATGAGTATTTTTGTAAATGCTTATAAGTTCCTCACTCAACAATACGGCGAGGGTCGTGCGACAAATAACTTTGGAGTATGTGTGAGAGGGGAGACGTATAATGCTGAACAAGAGTCAGACTACTATTGCATATTGCAAGAGATCTTAGAGATTGAGTATTATAGAAGCGGACCCTCGACTGTTGTACTATTTAATTGTATTTGGTTTGATAACAAAGACGGTGTAATAGTCAACAAAAACAAGTTGGTTGATGTCAAACCCAAATCTCGACTTCAAACTGATGATTCTTTTTGTTTGGCATCACAAGCAGAACAACTGTTTTATACACAATACCCTTCAATGAAAAATGAGACGAAAGATAAGTAGGCGGTTGTCAACACAAAACCAATATGGATATTTGAAGTCACCGAAGCTGAAATGGAAGCAGATGAAATCTTTCAGGTTGAAAAACGGTTTGAGTCACCCCTTACTGTAACTCGTGTGGAACGACTGTGCCTACCCTCAACTATAACTACGTATGAGCAAATATATGATGACGAGAATGAGGGAACTGGGGAGGAAGACGAAGAAGTGGAAGATTTTGAAGACGGAGATGATGAAAACGAGTTGTTTTATTCAGAAGAAGAATTTGAAGACGAAGATGATGGGGACGGATGTTAGGAGCATTTTTTTGTTGATGTTAGGAGCATTGTCTTTTGTTGATGTTAGGAGCATTGTATTTGTGGATGTTAGGAGCATTGTCTTTGTTTTAAACTTTAAAATTAAACGTTGTTTTTGTAATAATTTTGATTTTGACATCCCGTTGTTTTAAACATATGTTTCGTCATGACTTATCAATCTTATATTATATATCTGACCATTCTTGTTCTATTAAATGCAGCATGTCGGGTAATGGACGTAAGGATAGAGGCCGCGGTACCAACTCTTCTTCTAGAAGTGCGGGGCATATGAGGGGGGTTATCCCCAAATTCTACCGACGAACCACGTTATAGGACGTCACTAATACTGATCGATACGCCGGTGGTGACAGGAGTCGCAGGCTCCAACAGTCAGGGTGCTATTAATGAATACACTGGCATGGTTGAACCTTTAGCAGACTTGGTTGGGATTCTTCGCCATCAGGCTCGAGGGGCACAAGGGACGGGCCATATGTCCCAGCTCATATAGACAGATTATAGGCCCAGGCTCCCACAGACGTTTTATAGGCCCCAACTCCCACAAATGGGTTATACGCCCCAGTTTCCAAATACAGGTGTTGAGTCGCAGGCCCCACAAACGGTTTTGAGGACTGGTGGTCATGATGGATTTGAGGACTACTATTTTGAGGGTGTAGATGCACAGGCAACCTTTCGGTCGCCATAGACCCCGCACACGCCACTGCCACCGAACACGTCACCGACACCGCATGGCTCCACCTCTAGAGGTATTATGGGCGGTCACGACTCGAATGCGAGTGATTTTCAGGAATCTTCGTTGCCCCTCATCAGTCGAAAAGGGAAAAGTTAGTCTTTTCATATTTTAAAACTTTAATTTTTGATGTTAAAATTCTACTTATATGGTTTTTTCAATGTAGGTTTGGGTTTAGGAAAATCCACAGCATATGTATTAGTCTCTATTGGGAGAATATGGATCATTTGTGGCCCTGGTTCAATGGTATCCCCTATGAGGCTCTTATACAGATGTTTTTGCGTTTCAAGGTAATATATTAAATATTTATTATTGTATCTTATACTCATTTGTTTTTAGTTTGTATTTTTAAATTTACTTTTTATTTTTTTACAGACCATGTACAAGTGGCATTCACAAGAGAATGGAAACATATTTAATGCCTTCAAGTGTGTACTCAAGGATAGATACAGAGATCGGATGAAGCGTAACAGGATTAAATCTGGCGACATGGCACAAAATGATGAGAAACCCATCCCCCCAGATCATAGTACCTACTTCGAAGGGATGCATAACTACCGCCCCAAGCGCGTACCGGAGAATGTGTGGCTACGTTTGTGTGATGTAATGGATACGATACATTATTATCTATTTTGTTGAGTTTTAATTTCCTATTGTATTATTATACTTATATATATATTTTTTCTTTTCACAGCACTGGTCCACAGATAAGTGGAGAAATAATTCAAAAATTGCTCAGCAGAACCGTAAGACCGCAGATGCTAATGGGTCGACAACAAGGCACACTACGGGTAGTATAGGATTTCACGAGCACTGTAACAACTTAGTAAGTATCATAATTATAAATTTTATTATCTTATTTTTTTAACACTAACTACATCAATTATACTTTGTATTTTATGTAGGAAAAGTTAAAGGGTAAACCACCCACACAATATGATGTTTTCATGAAGACGCATGGCACAACTGAGTCGAAAAAAAATATATTTACAGGAGATCATGAAAATCTCGAATATTGCTCACAAGCTGCCAAAAAAGCACATGTAACTTATCTTTTATCATTTATGTATATTGATTCTCACAAGATTTTTTTTATATGACAATGGTACTGTTTTGGTAATTTGTAGGAGGCGTATCTATAGGGGTTGGTCAAAACATACGAAGAAGATCCTTCAAACCATAAAGATGATGCAAGGGTATAGGAGGAACCCCAACTTAGGAGAAAAGGAAAGAAGAATGGTGATATCTAATGGATAGGAGCATCATATATACATTTTGTGGTTTCTAGGACATCATCTTCCCAATCCACCCAATCGGACAGTACACAGCAAGAGGTATGTTGATAATATTGATAAAGTCGATAATAAACAAAAGTACGTTGCTATTATGGTTAAAAGTTAAGTAGTATGTTGATAATATTGATAAAGTTGATAATAAACAAAAGTACGTTCCTATTATGGTTAAAAGTTAGGTAGTTTGTTGATAATATTGATTAAATTGATAATAAACAAAAGTACGTTGCTATTAAGGTTAAAAGTTAGGTAGTTTGTTGATATTATTGATTAAATTGATAATAAACAAAAGTACGTTGCTATTATGGTTAAAAGTTAGGTAGTTTGTTGATAATATTGATTAAATTGATAATAAACAAAAGTATGTTGCTATTATGGTTAAAAGTTAGGTAGTTTGTTGATAATATTGATTTAATTGATGATAAACAAAAGTACGTTGCTATTATGGTTAAAAGTTAAGTATATTGCTATAAGTATTTTAAACAAACATGCATTGTTATAATAAACTAAAGTACATTGCTATTATTGTTTAAGTATTGAATTGTGTTACCATTTTTTTAGGTTGATAGGTTGCGTGCACAAGTTTCTACTATGGAACAACAACAACAACAAATGAAAGAACAGATGGAAATGGTTATAAGGATGATGAATATGTCTGGACATCAACCCCATGCTCCCCCCGATAATCCACCTGAGGACAATTGATAAGTATTTTGGAACAATTGAATTTGTAAACACTTAGTATTGTTTGTTTGTTTTGTTAGTGCTTAATTTTTTATGGTATTTTGGACAATGGAATGGAATGTGTCAAACTTGGTATTAGGAATGTTTTTTGGTGTATTTTATATGGTATTTGCGACAAATGTGAATTGAATATGGTATTTGACAAAAAAATTGGAAATTTTTAAAGTTTTCTTTTTAAACGAAATTAGCGACAGAATAGCTACGGATTTCTGTAGCTATTCCGTAGGTAAAAAGTCAATTTTTTTCAAACACGGCTCCCGTTGGTAATCTGTAGCTATTCCATAGCCATTTACTTCGTAGCTATTTATTTCCATAGCTATCCACTTCCGTAGCTATTTATTTCCGTAGCTATCCACTTCCGTAGCTAATCCGTAGCTATTTATTTCCGTAACTATTCCGTAGCTATTTAGTTCTGTAGCTACTCCATAGGAAAAAGTCAACTTTAGTCAAACATCACTCCCGTCGGTACTCCGTAGGAAATCCGTAGCTATTTATTTTCGTAGTTATTCTGTAGCGATTCCGTAGCTAATCCATAGGTATAATTTAGCCACGGGCCATTATGCTACAAGCTTTTTTCCGTAGCAATTTTGTAGGTATCCGCTTATAGCTACGGAATAGCTACAGATTGTGCTATAGCTATTGCACCAATTTTCTCGTAGTGGTTTAACAACATTACCGACGGATAGCATACTGTGACTACCGTCAATTTTTGGCCAAGTCAAAGTCAACTAAAGTCAACAAGTCAAACCGGTCAACTCATCTAACCCTTGTATATTAGGGTTTCCATTATGTTTCTTATTGTACAACTCGCAATCTTAATACAAAGTATCACTTAGAGTTTTCACGAGTTCGGAAATTCTAAACCCCAATCAGGGCAAGTGATGGAACTACTCGATAAAACATTACTCTTTAATCCTTAGGGACATATAACAATCATAACGAGACTTAACGGGATGTACAAACCTTGCGTTACAAAGCCAAACACTCAAAAAGGTCGCAAACGAGATCTCTCTCAAATCTCTCCCAAATCTCTCCAAATATGTGAAATCTCTCCCAAATCTCTCCAAGAATGTGAAATCTCTCTCTGTATGAGAAATCTCTCCTATTGTGTAAAATCTCTCTCTAAATGAGAAATCTCTCCAAGTGTGTGAAATCTCTCCCAAATCTCTCTTTCTATGAGAAATCTCTCCAAATATGTGAAATCTCTCCTAAATCTCTCCAAGTAAGTGAAATCTCTCCCAAATCTCTCTCTGTATGAGAAATCTCTCCAAGTATGTGAAATCTCTCCC